TACTACTACTACTACTACAACTTCTATTACAACCGCTACTACACAACTTCTACTAATACTAATAAGTACTATTACTGTTACAAATACTAAATGATGAAACAAGCCATAGTGATACCATACTTAGTATTATAAAAATGATAAAGATCTCTCGTAAGATTATACTAAAATAGATTGTATTGTATTGTATTTGATACAAGTCATCAAGATTGTATTGTATTGTATTTGATACAAGTCATCAAATACAATACAATACAAAACAATACAATACAATACAATCTAGTTTAGAATAATCTTACAACGAGAAGAATAGCAATTAAGATGACGGTGATGTAGACGATGTTTATATCTATATATGCATAGACAAAGAGAGCGAGAAAGAGAAAGAGAGAAGAAGAGAAAGAAGAGAGAGAAAGGGAGAGAGAGAGGGAAAGAAAAAAGAAAGAAAAATATTATACAATTTGATAATTTTTAAATACAAATTTACACAAATTGTTTCAATTTGAAACGAACGGACTAGATGTAGGTAAGTGGTTAACTAATTAACCGGTCAATCAATCAAAAAAATTTACAATCCACCAATCAGTCAGTTTGTCTATTGGTAAATTTTAAAATAACTTTTTAAAAACGAGTATAATTTACAGTAAATTTTAATAATTTAAATAACTTAAGTATAAATAAATTAAGTTAGCATTCTGAAAGACAGTCAATCAAAACCAGAGGCAATTAAAAACTTTGTTGGACGTCAACTAAATAACCAATAGGAATTTCGAATCTATATAAACTCAAAAGTGATAACGTGTCAGCAACCAATTACAAGCTATTTAACAAATCATCAAACTAAAAATTTAAAAATATTCAAATAATCAACCAATCTGATAAATGAATTTTTCAACCAGTCAACAAACCAACCAACCAGGCAAACAAACAAACAACCAACCATTCAAATAGCCAATCAACCAACCAAACAACCAACCAATTAAATAGCCAAGCAACCAACCAAACAACCAACCAATTAAATAGCCAAGCAACCAATAAACCAACCAACCAATCAACCAACCAATCAATCAACCAACCAACCAATCACTCATCTTTTACACGTATAAGAATCGAAACTCTCTCTACAAGTGTCACACAAAACTTTACAGCACCAAACAAATCTACACTGGCATGGTTTACTCTTGGTCCTCACTGTGGTATCGAACCCGCGACCGCAGCATAAGTAGTCACAGGAATTTCTATTGTTGTTGGGAGAGTCGAGAT